CTGTGGGTTCTGTTGCCATGAAGGGCAGCTCTCAGTCATGAAGTGTTAAACTCACAGGGCTATAAACACTCCCAGAGCACTGAAGCATGTGGTGCCATGTGTCTTTTAATGCAAATTGTCTTTCCTGATAAAGTAGTGTTATGACAGAGCAAGATGATCAGTTTAGCAGTAACACTCCCATGACAGCAGGACTAGACAGAGAGCAGCTTTAAAAGGTGTAGCTGATGGGACACAACAAGCTAAACCCTTCTTCCACTCAATACAGCTGGAATGGAATTGAGTGTGAAGGGTCTGGTTATACAGTTGGTGCTGTGTGCTCAGAAACAACAGGGTTGAATCCGCACTAAATCAATGTCAAACAGCAAAAGCGATAAAGAGCAACTTTGCCTTGTGACTTGTGACTTGTCCTAAATTAAAATTGTGGCTTCCAGACAGGCAGATAACAGTGAAACCACTTTACAAGGAAGTCCTCAAAGCCAAAACAGTTAATTTAACCAAAAACACGTATTTCCATTCGAATTGATGAAATGCATCTATTTAGCATCTAATAATATGACAGCAAGTCCAGGTGTTCTTATTACAATCAGCATATAAAATATTCAACATGTGTCATTTTTTAATAAGAGAAAGAAAACGTCCAGGACACAGATCCTCTCTGATCTGGTTGTATCGGGTTGTATAAGGGATGATATGTGTGTTTGCTAATCTGGTGGGTGTTATTCAAGAGCTCAACAAACTCAGTGGGCAATAGGATTATCCATCTCATCCCAGCCAAAGTAGGAGACAGATATTTGCGGAATAGGCCATTCTTATTTTAATCCTCTATCATACATAATAACAAAGGAGCTATGGTTTTTTACTAAAATTCATTCCATTTGGGCCAGAGGCTTTACCGTTCGGGTGTGTTTTATTGCATCATTATTTTTTCCTCAGCAAAACTAGAATTTAGATTGTATCTAGCTGCATCATAGATGGATACGCAGGGAATATCACACATCTAAAGGAAGACTGATATTAATTGTTTTGGAAGTATCTTTATTGACCTCTCGATGCCAAAAGACAGAAATACAGGTTCATAAAGAAACGTGATCTTCATAATAAACTCCTGCACACAATTTGTGCTTCCACAGAATGATCTATTTCTTTACAAAATTATATTTTTAAAGCAAACAAATAGCAGACTGGGATAACAATTAAGGGCTTTTTTAATGGTAAAGTATGAGAGAATATTTTGTTGGCAAAAATTGTTAAAGAGGAACATACTGAGCACAGCATCCTCTTACAACATACATCAACTATTAAGGAATGTGAAGGAGGTGGGGAGGCTTTGTCGTGGTTGTACCAAGCAGAATAAAGTAGAAGTCAAGCAAACCTGAATTTTCAGCACACAGGTGCATGCATTTGCATGAGAATATTTTATTTCAAATCGTTCTTTTCATTGGTGAGTACATAATACAGAAAAGGTAAATCTAAGAAAAAGAGTACCAGCTCCCAAATTAAATGTTAGCAGAAAATCCACAAGCATTCATTTAATATGGACTGAAAACCTTATCATTTCAATTTATAAGTTATTGATGTATACCTACCCAATTTTGGAATTAATTGTGTATAATTTCATGTCTCATTGCATAGCTATATGTGTTCTCCTTCATCTCCCCATACTACTCTACACAGGGGAGAATGAGGAGACATACTCCTCCAACTCTCACATCTTTGAATCATCTGTCTATTAACATGTAAGAGGTAGCACAGTCCATACCAGAGAGACACATTCACAGTCTTCAATGCAAGTCATTTTAAAAACTGGGAGGCCATAGGGATCACTGTGAGAATCCTACCAGACTAAATCCATCCGACACTCATTAGTTCTCAGCTAATTTTACATTGATTGTGAAGGTCCTGTCACAGTCACGAGTGACATGACCCAGGTTCAAACCAACACCACTTAAATCCTAGAGCACAACCTGCATTCAAGTGGGGACTTTCGTAGTTGAGCCAGTCAGGAGCTGTGAAATCTCATTTCAGTCCATCTCATTTCATTTCAATCTCAAATCTCAGTCCAGAGACTGAGCAATATAGATAAAAAGATAAAATATAGATAAAAATCTAAGACAGGCTTAAGATCATACTTCTAAGCTCAATTTGCATAATTCAACAGTTCTATAAATCAGCATAAAGCATGCAGTAAAGAAATAAAAACATATATATATTGTTCCTCATCTTAAAATTGAAGATTCAACAGTAAAGGCAATGTGTGCAAGATTGTGCCTCCTGATGGTGACGTTCAGATAGCCACACTGTTCCTCACGACAGATGGAAGCATGTAAGTGTATTTCACTTCTGTGCTTTTATTGCGGGACGTTATTTCATCTTCAATCTTCTCCAGGTCAGATCTGAATCTTAAAATCAGATCCTGAGGTCTTTTCTGTGTGAAGAGCTTCTCTGGATAGTCTCCCAGTTTAACCTGTGAAAGTGAGGAGGGGAGCAAGTGTAAGTTATCAAAGTACAATATGTTACCAAGGTTAGGGTGCTTGATTTTCAGGAGGTTAGAATAGACTAGTCTAGACTTGGCAGAAGTTACATTTTATGTGTTCATAAACACACATACAGCATACATTAAATGGTGATCAAAATGTAATGTTAATAATAATAAACTTTATTTTATATAGCGCCTTTAAAGGTGCCTTCTCAAAGCAATTTACAGGATGACAACAACAATAAATAAAAAGAATACACAAGATAAAACACAATTATAATATATAGAGGAGACCGTGGATAGTGGTACTAAGAAAAGCAGAGGGGTGAAGAATGGAACCAGTTAAGTAAAGGCTTTTCTGAAAAAGAGGGTTTTGAGTCTGGATTTAAAAGAGTTTAGAGAAGGTGACTCTCTGATATCCT